TTACCATTTACCTTCCCTTGGAGAATCAGCTGGAGAAGGCCGTAACGTTCTTGATTTCTCATTACATGTCCTAGACATTCCAACTTTTTAGTTTTGATGGTCATGAGAATTTCATATTCTTTCCCCATTCTACGCAGGACCTATACATTAGTAACTTTGTCAACCACATTTCGAAAGCTTCGAGCCGACTCATAGATGCAACAGTCAGTGTCCACGCTTCCATTCCGTAGAGCAGAACTGTGAATATGTAGCAGTTCAATAGACGGCATTTTGTTTTTAATGATAAGTCTCGACTGTTGAAAATGGTTCTCATTCTAACGAATGCTGCTTTTGCTTTTATTATTCGCTGTTTAATTTCTGTTGAGTGGTCCCATTGGCTATTAAAATTGGTGCCTAGATATGTATATTGCTCGACTCTTTCGATATTCTGTTGGTTAATTGTAAGTTGAGCGTTTAGTATTGGTTTTTGACTAATTGTCATAAATTTGGTTTTCTTTATGTTAAGATCTAGTCCGTATCCGTTGCTGACTTCTGTTATGCGATTTGTTAATATCTGTCAGTCATTCAGATTATCGACAAAAACTATAGTGTCATATGCATAACTAATGTTATTCAACCATTCACCGCTTATTAGTATTCCTTTCTCACAACCGTCTAAAGCTTCCTTAAATACCCATTCAGAATAAATATTGAACAACAATGGAGACAAAATACAGCCCTGTCGTACTCCACGTTCTATTGCAATTTTATCAGTTAACTGGTCTTCTATTTTGATTTTGGGCGTTTGATTGTAGTAAATGTTTCTTATAATTCTAAGATATTTGTTGTCAATTCCAATTTCTTGCATTAGAGTCATTAATTTGTCATGTTTTATTCTGTCAAATGCCTTCTGGTAATATATAAAGCATACATATATTTAATAATTCACATCCTTGTATCTCTGAAATAGCACCTGTACAGCAAAAATTGCCTCCCGTGTTCCCAGAGCATCACGAAATTCGAATTGTGTTCTTGTTAGTTGTTCCTCAAATTTTGTATATATTCTTTTGTAAATGACCTTTAGAAATGTTTTAAGTAAATAGTTCATGAGGCAATTCTATAGTCTTCGCACTTTCTCGCATTGGCTTTTTTGGAAGATTTATAAAAGTTGACACTAACCATTTTTGGGGAATTATGCCTGTATCATATTGTTAAATATATTTGTCAATCATTTTATACCATCAAAGTCCATTAGGTTTAAGAATTCTGAGTGAAAATTATCAGGGACTACTGCTTTACCATCTTTGGTGCTTTTGATGGCATATTTTACTTCTTCGACTGTAAATGGTGGTCCAGTTTCGCAATTGGTGTTTGTTGTGATACCAGTGTTGCTTCGTACATCTTCAAAAGTTTTTTTCACGTATTTAATCCAAATATCCCTTTTATGCTCTATTTTCAGTACTATGTTTCCCTGATTATTTGTCAGAAATCCAGTGTTCTTGTGTTTATATAAGCCTGCTGCTTCTTTAATCTTTTTATGAAGGTTAAATGAATCATGTTTCGTTGTAATGACTCTATCTCTGTACACTTTGAGCTAAACCAATTTTCTTTTGCTATTTTAATAGCCGTTTTTATTTCGTTATTTATGTTGTTGTAGTAATTCTTATTATCTTTAGCGTTTCTTCTGTCTTCCATCATACATAGAATCTCCTCCGTCATCCATTCCTTTTTCTTTGTTCTTTCAGGTTTTAAGTATTTCTCAGTTATTCCTTGACTTACTTTGTGCAAATTTTCTAGTTCTACATCTGTGTTATCTATTTCTGTACGAGCCCACGGTTTTTCTGTACGAGCCCACGTTTTTTCTTTTATGCGTTTTTGTACCTTTTCCTTTACTGTTTTATTTTTCAGTTGGTTAATATCGTACTTCGTAATTTTTGGTCTTTGAACTTTCTTTAAACTAAGTTTCATTTTGGCGATAAGTGGATTGTGGTCCGAATTTATGTTGGATCCCGGGTACGCTCTAACAGATGTTATAGAGTTTCTAAATCGTTTGTTAACAAGAATATAGTCTATTTCTTAGTCTAGTCTAGTCTAGTCTAGTCTAGTCTAGTCTATTTCTTAGTTCTTTGCCAACTTCGACATTAAAGTCTCCCATTATTAGTATTATTTCGTTTTTCCGAATCCTTTTGACAATATTAGTAAGGTCACTGTAAAATTCTTCTATAATTTCTTCTCGAGCGTCCGCTGTAGGTGCGAATACTTATATGTTTGTTTTTATGGGAGTTGTGTTTAGCTGAACTAGCATCCTTTCTGATACAGGTACAAAGTAATTTACACAATTAGCGATTTTTGATGATTGGCGAAAAATACAGGAACAAAACTCGAAAAATCAACAATACATATTTATAATATATTTATATACTTATATACATGTATTTGTTTATAATAAATTTATATATATATATATATATATATATATATATATATATATATATATATATATATATATATATAATATTAATTTAAGATGAATGAAAAGCTGATGCAAGGTGCAATAGTAAAGCGCCAGCTTGTTTACAAATAATAATTCATTTACGGTAGTAAGTAGGTACCATTTCAGCATTTTTATTAAAATTAATTGGGTAAATTCGAGTACGATATAAAAGCGTTACAGAGTTTCAAATAAATCAGTACTTACCAATTGCTCGTTTAAATCAAAAGTTAAAACAAAATCTCAAAAATGTCTAAGGTAAGTTTCAATTTATTTCTTAGTGAGTATCTAATTTCCACATGTTTCAAACATATTCTTATTACAATATTACACCTGAAATCTTCATTTTCGTTTAAAGATACATAAATAAAAACAACTTTTACATTTCCAAAGAAGCTGTAGCTGTTTTCACTTAAAAAGTACTTCTAATTGTTTACAATTCTGGAATATTGTCTTCTTTCCAACATTGTTTCATTCATTGTTTCTTCGTGTAGTATCATTTTTTTTTGACTATGTAAAAATATGAATTACAGCTTTGCTTTAATTTTCTATTTTGTAAAATTTACGCCAGCTTCAGCTGTTGTGTCATTTTTACTCTTAGAACCTCTTATTTATTAGTTTTTTATTTGGCGCCTAATAAATATTTTAGATTTTTCTTTTGTTGCTTCTTAATTTAAGGAAAATGGTCTTTATATACCTGCTCCCTCTATGCTCATACGATCCGATGTTCTACTGGTGATCATTTTGACTTGCATCGAAAAATTTAACATATCTGTTTAAAATTGAGGCCGTGTCACATACGATATTTCTTTCATCATCCTTGCAGCTTTTTATTTTTGGCTTAAACTCTTTGCTTATTTTATTGCATTATATGTTTTTTATCCGTTTTTCCTTAAATTGCTTCTTTTTCTTTTATGAAATCTTTTTGGCAACGATTTCAATGCGCAGATTATCAACATTAATTCTGTGTTGTTTCATATGTTTATTCTTCCTTAGCTTAGATATTCTTAATTACTATTTAACTGAGAATAAGCCACAATTAAAGATGAAAATACGTTTATTGACGTTTCAATTTCCACTTCGGAAATAGTTCATCCGTTATGGGCCCAGCAGTATTCAAAATTTTAGGAGATTGGAAATTCTATACAAGAAACTGACACACTGTCAAAATTCAATTAAATTTTTATGAAGATGTAGAGATAACAACCTAATACCAAAGAGCTTGAAGAACGATTTCCGAAGTGGAAATTGAAACGTCAATAAACGTATTTTTATCTTTAATTGTGGCTTATTCCCAGTTAAATAGTAATTAATTTACAATGCCACAAGAAAATAGCTTCAGAACAATCTTGGATATTCTTCCTCTGATTTTTGGAAAGACAAGAAAGTGGTTCTGTGTTTAGACCTTGGTAGCTTCTGACGACCATGGGTTCGGAAGACTACCTTGCATCTATCAGTATGTGGTCTATCTGGTTAATGGTTTCATTGTCTGGGGATTTTTATGCTCTTTTTTGTGTCATTTTATGGGGAAATATTTTTCCTCCTACTATCATATTTTGGTGATTGCATAGTTTATTAGTCTCATCTTGTTATCATTTGACTTTTCATGTAAGCTGTCACGTCCTTTTAGTAGCTGGAAAAATTGCTCTTTGCCACTTATTACATTAATGTCCACAGCAAATATGTTCACGCCATGACGTGGACATTGATCATATTCTTTGTCTAAAGTATCGTAGAATTAGTCTTTTTTGCTTTTTCATTTTGTTCCGTAGGGACACGTACACTAAGTCAGCTATAGTTAAAGAATTTGCCTTTAAGACGAACATAACACATTTTGTTGTTTATGAATTTAAAGGTAAAAACTAATTGCTTTGCTTTTTTTTACTGACTAAAAAACCACTGCCAAAATTTTGTAGGGTGCTATGTCCACTATAGTCTATATTGTGGTCTATTCTCTGGATAATTCCTGAACCAGTCGAAGTTATCTCTTAAATCGCTATTACATCGGCTTTTATTCTATCTAGTTCTTGTATTAGCAATTTAAGAGCGCCTGGACCATAAAAGGTTTGTACGCTGCATGTGCAGATCCGTAAATCGTTTTACCTTTTTTGTTTGCTAGGTCATCGTGGCTGTTTTTTGTAGTTATCAGGACATGTGCTTTGACCTTTCGTAAAGATCGAAATTGTAATATTAGTATACCAGTCCTTTGGTATCTTCGTGCTTAAAATATTATCTAACAATATTATGAGGCATTTTGCGAATTATTTACCTCGATATGTCAACAGTTCCTTTGGTATTTCGTTAGTTCCTGGCGGTGTTCTCTTCTTTTAAAGTTTTAATTCTCGCTATTACTTGTGTTTCTTTAGCGATATACTTGTATGTTTCTTGACTTCCATAGAGTTCTCTGAAATATTTTTCCTACATCTCAGCCAGGATTCTCTTTATCTGTACAAATAAATTTACTCATTTTTCCTGTTTTGTAACATCTTCCACACTATCGTACCTTTACTTTAGATATCCTGATACTTACTTTACTTTATCGTGTCCGGACATGTCATTCATAAAATTTCGGCCCAGTATCGGGCTACGTCGGTTCCATCTTTGTTGGCGAGCCACAAATCTTGAAGGGTACATCGATGAGGACAGTTTCTGCATGTAAGAAGATGTTCCATATTCTGTGTTTCTCCACAGTCACAGTTCACATCATCTTGATTTATTTTTCCCCATTTTGCCATGTTTGATTTTACTGTAGCAACCCCCGTTTTTATCCTATTTAAGGTTCTCCACGTTTTAAAGTCTAGGGTCTGGCCGGCCCATTGAACCTGGGGAAGTGGAAAATACTCAGGCGGTTCATCCTTTACTGTTCCAAGGAAGCTTTTCCTAGATTTTAGTCGCTTTCGTGGTGTTCGAGCTTTGTACAGGGCATGCCGATCGTCCGCGATCTGTTTAATTTTCTCTATGTGTTCTGCATGTTGAGGGTTGCTCAACCCTCTGCGTGTTGAGGGTTCTGCAAAACCCGCTGCTCTATATAGATTTGAAAGTGTCGTTGGTTTCATGCACCCTGTTACTATCCTGCATGTCTCATTTAGCGCAGTATCAACTTGTTTGGTGTGGACAGATCTGCTCCAAATGGGGCATGCATATTCAGCAGTTGAAAAACGCAGTGTCTGTGCCGTTGTTCTTAAAACGCCAGGACGTGCGCCCCATTTACTTCCCGTTAGCTTTCTGAGTATGCTGTTCCTAGTTGTTACTTTCCCTCTTGTTTTTATGCAATGTTGTCTGTAGCTGAGGGACCGGTCCAGAGTTACTCCAAGATATATAGGTTGGTTTGTGTGTTCTAATGTATTACCATTCCACACAATTTGGAGTTTTCGCTTGGCTTCCTTTGTGCGAAGGTGGAAAGCGCAGACTTGGGTTTTAGAGGGATTGGGTCTCAGAGAATTCTGCAGGTAGTACGCTGTCATTGTTTTTAAGGCAGTTTCGAGTTTCTCCTCCACTTCTTCAAAACTATTTCCTTGAGCACATATTGCAAGATCGTCAGCATAGAGAAAGTGCTTGGTTTCGGTCGGAGTAGGTTGGTCGTTTGTGTATATATTGAAGAGCATTGGTGCTAAAACACTTCCCTGTGGGAGGCCGTTTTTTTAACCCTCCACCTACTTACTTTACCCTCCAGCATAACGAAAAAACGTTTATTTTGCAGTAAGGAATATACGACCTTTCCCAGATGGTGGTCATTGAGAGTATCGTATAATTTGCGGAGCAATGTTTTGTGCCTTACTGTGTCGTTGGCTGCTGTCAGATCTACAAACGCAGCCCCTGTTATAAGTTTTTCTTCAAAGCCCTCTTCAATGTGTTCTGTTAATGCGAGGACTTGACCGGTGCAAGATTTGCCAGGTCCGAATCCTCCTTGTTGTGGGATGAGGTGCTTTTCGACATTTTTTTCTATTCTGGCGAGTATGAGTCTCTCGTATAGTTTAAAAAAGTGACACAATAGCGAAATAGGTCTATAGCTACTGGGGTCTTCTGGATCCTTTTCTGGTTTTAACAAGGCTATTACTTTAGATTTCCTCCATGATTTTGGAATTTTGCAGGTTTTGCAGCACGTGTTATAAAATTGCAAGATCCAGTTTTTTGCTCCTTGGCCCAAATGCTTTATTTGTTCACTGCATATATCATCCACACCTGCAGCTTTCCCGTTTTTTAACCTGTTCAGACCGTCGTGGAGTTCTTTTAGTGTAAAAGGAGTTCCTAGGTGGTTTGTCTCCGAACCCAATCTTCTCCTAGTGTTTGGGTCCTTATATCGGTTAGTAGTTCTTCCATTCGTAAGGAGTTGAGTAGCGACTTGGTTTGCTGTAACCTTGCAAGGTGATTTATGTTCTTTTGGATCACCGCTGAGTTTTTTTACAAGGTTCCATGCTATTCTGCTACTATGTGTCATGTCCATTTTTTCCAGGGTCTCAATCCACTTTTCCTGTCTGGCTTGACTTAGCTGTTGGAGTAGTACTGCTCCGCAGTCAACCGTTTCTTGGCTAAAAGGGTCAGTGGAATAGAGGGTTTCGTATGTTCTCATTAGTTCTTTGGACTCGCTGGACATCCCGGGAACGTATTGTTGTCTACATCCTCTAGGGATAGTTTTTCTAAACACATTTTTGAGTACCTCTACAAATTTTTCGTAGTTCTCTACTTTTGGTTCAAGGCGTAGTAGTTCAAAATCTAGCATGTCTGCATACTTTTGCCAGTTTGCCTTTTGAAGTTAAATCTCCTTCTGACTGAAATAGCTTGTGGTCTGACAATTGGGAAGATATTTATACCAATTGGTCTATGCTGAGTTTTTGGTATGGGGCCATATACTACTTTGGTACATCGGTCTTCGAGGTTGTTGCTTGAAAAACAGATATCCGGGTTATATCCTCTTTTCCAAACTTTGCTATGAAAAGATGGTGGAAGTTTAGGATCATGGATTAACGTGAGGCCACTCGTTTCGGCCCATGCTTCTACTGCGTCTCCATTTGCGTCCGAATCTGCATAGCCCCAGAGTAAACTGTGACTGTTAAAGTCTCCAACCAAACCAAATCCGATGGCAAAGATATCCTGATAATGTCACTTAGGAACAAAATCCAATGTTCTCTTTTAATTGTCTTTATTCGCTAGTTTGTTCTGATTCTAATTTCTATGTAGATGACACGTTGTTTAGGCGTAAAGACACCACATTAGGGGCTAATGAATGACTACTTTTTCATTTCCCTTATTGCCCTCGTGCCCTGGTAAGCAGGCTAACCTAGGCTAACCTGGTAGCCGTAACCTTTCTATGGTCTCCTAGATTATTTAGGGCGCCCACACAATCCATAGTAACTTGGAATTAACTATAGAATTAAGTGCCTTCAGTGCTTTCTGGCACTGGTGGTTATAGGCCTCATAATCATGTCTTTTTTGTAAAGTTGACGATTTGTGTTTTTTGAACATTGTCTGTCACTCTCCCTTGTTTACACAAGTTATCAATTATATTTAGAGCTTTCCATATATAACCTGGGCTACTTTGCTCCTGACGACGATTTCCTTTCCTGTCCTTTTGTGGACAGATTTTTGAGAAAATCATCTACCAAGGTTGCAAAAAGTAAAGATCACCGATCTCCTCTTTGTGAACAGCCTCCACCTAATTTTACTTTGATGGTTTCTTTACCCAGAGTGGACATTACTATCATATATTCCAGATATGCCCTTATTTACCTGCATATTATCACAGGTGTGCCGCATCTATTCATTGTTTTAAACAAAGGGTTGGTGGTAATAATATCAAATGCCTCTATTTAATGCCCTTTGTTCTCTATTAACTTAGAGGTAAAAGATCAGCCTCCTTAGATCATTCAATTCTGTGTCCGTAGACTTACCAGGTTGGTGTGCATATTGACGATTGCTTAGAGGATTATCTTTTAGCACTTAGTCTCTTACGTACCTATCCAGAAGTCTTTTCAGTGTTTTTATTATAAAATACGATAAGCTTATTGATCTATATGACTTGGTGTTAGATCTAATACTTTACCTACTTTACTTACCTTACTTTACGATCTCCCATGCTAAACTGGCTTCAAGGAATTTCTTTTTATACAGCATAATCTACTGGATAAGTGTAGATTGAATATAAAACATTTCTCGTGTAATAAATATAATTTTTTATAGTATAATATTTAAATAATATATTATAGAATAGTTTTGAATATTTTGTTTATTTTTCTTATAAAGTCTGGGACAAATATGGCAAGTATTATATTTTAATTTATTATAGGTGGGAACATTTGTTTTCCTGTTGGCTGTGGCACATGGAAGTTTTGGATTATCACTTCTTGGAAGTGGATTAGGCTTAGGACTGGATGAAGTTGGTCTCAAAGGAGTTGGAATTTCAAAAGAAGTTGTAGACTTATACGTAAGTTTTATGTTTTTTTTTTAGTAAGTAACAGTTAAATGAATATAGCATACATGAATTTTGATAATATCTCGTAATACTTACAAATTTTTTGTAATAGTTTTTTTTAAACTACTAAACTAAAAGATGTACAGATTAAAGATAAAACCATCGTAAAACTAAATGAAAAACTCTCAGAAATAGACCGAACCCTGTAACGACTATTTTGCTTACCACAGGGTAAGAATATGGGGGACAAGATTGGGCAAACAAAATAATCGGAACAAGTGCGTACGACACTCAGTTGGTTGTTGGAGAGCTGGGTCGTGGATAAGTTGAAGATATTGGGGGTTAGATTGGGGCAACTACAAAAAAGAGAAATAAAGGGGTACTTATACAAATCTCTTGGGACAAACAGAATGAAAATAAACGGAAACACCTCAAGAAATTTAATATAGGGCGCCACTTGAGGTGCCCAATTATACATATTACAACCACTAGTTGTAACTAGGGAAATAATTGTATAACATCAAAAATATAGAAAAAAATATCTTTTTCAAATAAAACTCAAAATAGATCAGAGAAACAAATTAAACATTTATTTTTGTCTCAAACAAAACAGATTAAAAATACATATTATAAAAGAAACATATCATATAACATAATACAAATAACAAAAACTTACATGTTCTTTGTTTACTATATTATGGCCAATTAGATTGTCAAAAATTAAGAATCCTTGTTAATGAAAACATATAAATTTAACCTTATATATGAAATATCGTTTCTACATAATAATCAAATTAAAATTGTCATAACAAAAAAAAAACAAATTAAGCTTGCTGTCAGGTATCACATTTAATTTTGATGACAAAGAATGAAAGCATTAACAGCATAACTATACATATTACAATTTTTTATTTGTTATGAAAGCAATTATTGTTATTAAAAAAAATGTCTATTTTACTATTAACACAAAATGTTACCTTTATTCAAATCACATACAATTTTGCACTGGTACTTCTGGGAATTTAACGGGAATTTACTGGGACCTCATACTATACAAAAGAACTGCTTCAAACTGGACTGGAAAAACGACCAGAGACAAATAAGATTGAGGTTGGAACCAAATCAATTGCACATAGTGGGCACACCCTATATACTGTTTTAAATATTTTCCATATTCTGGTATCTGCACAACTCCTTTAAATATTTAGTGGCTACCCTTTTCTAAATCTGTCATATTACAGAGAGCAATTGTTCCACTATTTAACAAAATTTGTCGACTTTTGCAAACTACATAACTAATACGTCTGTCCACTCTAGCTGCCCTATTTGAAATCTCTCCGTCGACTCTATTGTCACATGTCTGCCCTGTTTGAAATCTCTCAGTCGACTTTATTGTCACATGTCTGCCCTGTTTGAAATCTCTAAGTCGACTCCATTGTCACATGTCTGCCCTGTTTGAAATCTCTAAGTCGACTCTTTTTTGCTTGGTTACATTTTACCAGAATCTCCAAAAATTTCCCTTCCGTCTTGCAGCCTGTCGCCGATCCACTTAAAACCAAAACAAAATATTCCCTCCTCTTATCGACAAAAAAAAACAAATTTTAAATGTTCCTTTATTGCCTAAACAAAAAAATATTCTTTTTTTGACCCTCGACTAATAACGAAAAACAGCTTTAATATTAGGGGAATTCATGGTTTATTGCGTTTTAACATAATACCTCTTTGGCGACAAAAAACTTGTTATTTTACCTGACATTGCAACACAGAGATAAAAACATATTTCCAGCGTTAATACGCATTTAAAAATTTCGTCAAAAAAACTTGAAATATTATTTCGATTGTTTTCTTTGGTAAAAACAACAGGGACGTAACACAGAAATCTTTTCTATACACTTTAAATAAAAAAAACGCTACAACCCAAATAAATATCCAAAATATAAATACAACTTGGCAACAAATAAAATCCATCCTCGTCAATTCTGCAAGGGAAGAAATTCCAAATACACGATTAATGGTAAAAAAAGACTGGATGACACCAGCTATTCTAAAGATGATAGACGAAAGGAGGAAATACAAAAATAAGAACACAATCGATTATAAACGATTAAATACAGAAATACGAAGGAAAATAAAAGAATCAAAAGAGAAATGGCTCGAAGAAAAATGTAAAGAAATAGAAGAAATAGAACATAGACATGATTACTTTAATATGTACAAGAAGGTGAAAGAATTTTCATTCATCCACAAAAAACAACATTGCCCACTGGTAAATAACAACGGAGAGTTAATACATAACACCAAAGATAAAATAGAAGAATGGGAAAAATTTATACAACAGCTGTTCCGAAATGAAAGAATAGACACTACAATAAATAATGTTACTGAAAGCCCACCAATTCTAAAAGTCGAAGTGGAATATGCCATTAAACAATTAAAGACCAACAAAAGCCCTGGACCTGATGAAGTTTATCCTAAAATACTTAAATTGATCGAAAGTAATAACTTTGATTTGTTAGTAATTTTGTTTAATACAATCTACGATACTGGGGAAATACCAGAGGAATGGTTAGAATCTATTTTTATTCCCATTCCAAAACAAGCTAACTCCAGGCGATGCGCAGATTTTAGATTAATAAGTCTTATGAGCCAAGTGCTTAAAATTCTATTAAAAATACTTCACAATAGGGTATACAAAAGGTGTGAAAAAGAAGTTGGATACGATCAATTCGGATTCAGAGCCGGAATGGGGACCAGAGAGGCCTTGTTTTCACTACAAGTACTGCTGCAGAAGTGTTACGCCCAACAAAAGGATGTCTTTCTATGTTTTGTAGACTTTGAAAAGGCATTTGATCGCGTAAACCATAATAAAATGTTAAATTCCTTGCAAAGCATCAACTTGGATAGTAAAGATCTCCGATTAATTAAGAACTTATATTGGAGGCAGAGTGCCAAGATTAGGATCGACGATCATACATCTAGAAATATTAGTATAAATAAAGGAGTAAGGCAAGGATGCATACTATCCCCTATGCTGTTCAAACTTTACTCGGAACTACTATTCAAGCAAGCCTTGGAAAACCTTTCCACAGGAATAAAAATTAATGGAGAACCAATATCTAGCATAAGATATGCAGATGACACTGTCCTACTGGCTGATACAGACACAAACTTACAGGGGGTTATAGACCACCTCAAGGATGCTTGTCGAGAGTTTGGAATGAAGATCAACGAAAAAAAAACAAAAGTAATGGTGATCCAAAGAAAACAGAATATCCCCTTACCTATAAAAATAAATGGGAATATTTTAGAACAGGTAAACCAATACAAATACCTTGGCTGTTGGATTAATTGCAAGCTGGACCCAGAACAAGAAATTAAAGCGAGAATTGCTCAAGCTAGGGATAGTTTCTTTAAGATGCGCGTTCTATTCTGCGATACACATATAAATATTAAATTGAGATTAAAACTTGTAAAATGTTTTACCTGGTCTGTTCTTCTCTACGGAGTCGAAACGTGGACTTTAAAAATAAAGAGCCTGAATAGAATCGAGGCATTTGAAATGTGGGTGTACCGTAGAATTTTAAAAATTCCTTGGACAGCACGAAAAACAAACGAAGAAGTACTAGCTAGACTCAATGTAGAAAAAGAACTACTGAGAACAGTCAAAAGAAGAAAAACCAGTTATTTAGGGCATTTGTTGCGCAACGAGAAATACTACATCCCTCAGTTGATAATAAAAGGCAAAATAGAAGGAAAGCGAGGAATTGGAAGAAAAAAATTGTCCTGGTTACGTAATATCAGAAACTGGACAGGACTTGGATTTGAGGAACTCTTAAGAGCAGCTGAAGATAGACAAACGTTTGCCACCATAACCGCTAACCTCCATTGATGGAGACGGCACTTGAAGAAGAAGATAAAATTTGAGATTTTCAGGTCAGTTGATCTTATAAATTAGTATCAAAAATATCAAAAGATTAAAGAATCGAGAATTTTCTCAAATTAAAAAAAAACACACATTTCTTCTATCTGGAAGTTTCCTTCAATTTGATTATTGTAATCTTGAAAAAGTGCATTATGCGCATTGAAGAGATCTATGCTGTATTGGAATGGAAGCTCAATTCGGTGAATCTTTTAAACGTTTTTATTGATTCCATACCATTCGTATTCGGTCACAGAAAGGAATAATTTTTCTAGCAATTTTCCATAAAGTCTGTTTGTCTTTTAGTGAACGATTTAAAGTTAAACCAGTTCACGTAGAACGTTTTAAAAAATTTCAAGCTAAACAAGTTCTTCTTATCGATTTTCAGGTTTAAAGTGCTTTTGCTGAAATAATATACCATAGTTTCTTTCTTGTATGTTTTATTTTTTACCGCATACCCTACTACTGCCTAAACTTTATTTAAACAAAGTTTCTTTTCTATTTTAGGCTCCGCCAAAATATGAGTTTCAATATGGTGTCAAAGATCTTAAAACGGGAGACAGCAAAGAACAAAAAGAAGAACGTGTAGGAGACGTGGTGAAGGGTCAATACTCCCTAGCAGAACCTGATGGCACCATTCGTGTTGTCAAATATACTGCGGATAAAGTTAACGGATTTAATGCAGTAGTCGAAAGAATTGGAAAAGCAGTTCACCCTCAAGTTATACAAAAACCTCTAATAGTACCAGTAGTACAGAAATCTGTTGCTTTGCCAGTAATATCAAAAATTGGATTATCACAAGGGCTTGTACTTGGTGATAGTTTAGGACTACGTAAAGGACTTGGAATTGGTGATAATCTAGGATTAAGTAGAGGACTTGAAATTAGTGATAGTTTAGGACTTGGTAAAGGACTTGGACTTGGTGAATCAAGAATTTACTAATGTTTTGATAGCTTTAAATGTTTTCCTTAAATAAGTTTTAGATTTAAATGTTACTTATGTTAAAAATGACTGTTATGCATAACCAATAAAGGTTCTTATATAAAATTTGTAGTAGTTTTTTTTATATAATTGTGTGCATAAAAATGTTTTAAAAAAATGTTTTCAAATGTTTAAAATTCCGTTAGAAAATGTACGCTAACAAGAGCGTATAGGATACTAGTAAATTGGCAATAGTGTTAAAATGACCATGATAATATTCTTCTGAACAGTAGCGTAGATATCTAATTTTAAATTAAATCTTCTTCTTTCAGTGCCCTGTCCGATTTTATCAACCGTTGCGTTGGCGATCATATTGGCATTATTCACGGCGGCTCTATTAGCGGTGGTTTCTTGATACCATTCTCGGAGATTTCGTAGCCAGGATGTTCTTCGTCGGCCTGGGCCTCTCCTTCTGTCGATCTTAACCTGTATTATGAGGTGTAGAAGGTTAAATTAAATAAAAGTAATTATTATTTTGCATAAATATTTGATTTTAAGACAAGTATACAAAGGATCGGCGCATTATACTCAAATTATGTGGGCATATTGTGTTTTACAAAAAGTTTCATTTTCTATAGTTTAAATAATAGCAGGGTTGAAGAATGGGAAAGCAAGTGGACCAAAGGGAGTAACTACGGAATTAATAAAGAATGGCTCAGAGAAATTACACAGAATGATCACGGTGATATTTAACGAATATATTAATGGACATCCAACACCAGATAAATGGAAAACAGCATATATGACCCCAATATATAAAAAAGGTGACAGAAGAAATTGTAAAAACTATAGAGGGATATCGGTCACAAGTTCGATGAGTCGACTATACGGTCGAATACTACGGGACCTGATAGAGGAAGATTATCAATCGTCTGAAGACGAAGAACAAGGAGGATTTAGAGCAGTTCGCTCCAGTACAGATAACATCTTCTGTCTTAAACAAATTATAGAAAAGAAAATTGTGACAAATAGAGAGTTACATATGACTTTTATAGATCTTGAGAAGGCATATGACACAGTCTCGCTGAATAAACTATGGGAAATCCTGGACACATCAAACATACATCAAACATTGGTTAGTGCTCTCAAAGATCTATATTATGGTTCAAACTCCCAAATGAATTTTGGAAACCTCTTAGCTGAAAAATTTGCAGTTGCTAAGGGTCTCAGACAAGGATGTTGTATCTCTCCGACTCTATTTAAGATTTATATCTCTGCAGCTCTGAAACAATCGAAACGGAAAGTCAAAGGAATGGGTATACAATTGAACGATCAGGATTACATATATACTTTACAGTTTGCAGATGATCAGGTGGTGATCTCCAATGACAAAGACGACATGGAATACATGCTTAGAAAACTAATTGAAGAAATGGAGATTAAATATCAATTAAGAAAAGACAAAATACTTCTCAATTTGAGCTGAAGCAGAACAACTCGATATCGATGACAATCAAAAAATAAATCCATGTGACGAAAGAAAAGAAAATGGAACATCTATGAGACAATGGTTAAAACTAGCCTACTTTATGGAGCTGAGACATGGAGAATAACCGAGAAATATAAGAAAAAGATCGAAGCCACGGAAATGGATACCATCAGAAGATCGATGAGAATATCAAGAGCCGACAGAATACGGAATGAAGTGATAAAACAACAAATGGGTATAGAGGGTCCTATAGTTGAGGATATTGAGAGAAAACAGCTCATATGGTATGGGCATGTGAGCCGAATGGGGGACGAAAGATTGCCTAAAAAAACGATGATGTGGCAAGCCCCAGAGAAGAGGAAACGAGGAAGACCACCACAGAGCTGGAACCTGGGAGTTAGGAAAGCGATTAGCGCTCGAAATCTGGACGAAGACCTAACTCAAGACAGAACACAGCGTTTGGGAGTCGGACAACGCCGTAAGACGTTATAAAACCGAATATATATATATATATATATATATATATATATATATTATATATATATATATATATATATATATATATATATATATATATATATATATATATATATATATCCCCGTTATCAATTTCTGTGATATTTCTCAGAATTGATATCACTAATCGACTCGACTGAACAGAACTTATTATAAAATAATAATATCTATATAAAAACATTGTTAATAATAGTATAATATTTAACGAGCATGTAATCTAGTGAGTAATGGCTATTACTGACGATGATGAAGTTTGCGACACGAGTCGAAGGCAAGTATCGTAGTTCCCCAGAGTGAGTAACAGCCATTACATGCGAGTAGAATACTATACTTTTTCTACGACCTTTTTTATTTTAATTAGAAAAAAATATATAACTATCAACGACTCGAGATTAAAATTATAATTTTCAAAAATAAATTTTGTTTACTAATACTTGTAGTACTCGGCTGAATAATTGGTTACTTATTATTAGCAATGCTGTCTAAATTATGTATTGTAAAAACCACAACAAGAAATTTAATAATAGTCAATTCAAGGTATATTCATTTCCGAAAAATCATAAGTATACAGTACCTATTACTGTCATTGTAATAAATAGGAAAGGCTATTATCGGTGAACGTATTTTAAAAAGTTTAATGTACATTTATTTTTAATTATACAGTGAGGAGCTCGGTAATAGCCGACATATAATACTGCAAAAGATGGAAAACGCATTTAATTATGAGATAAAAAGAAATTAAATTAGTGGATGTGGGATATTGAGCGATAACAACCTATAAATCTTCTTCTTCTTCGTCTAGCCATTCACGTCCACATCTGAACATAAACCTCTTCGTCTTCCTTTCCATTGTTTTTTATTGTACACTACTTGTAGCCAATTTTTCCCGGCAGTCCTTTTCAGATCATCTGTCCATCGCATAGGAGGTCTGCCTCTGGGTCTTTTGTGTTGGTATGGTCTCCAGGTTAAAATTGATCTGTGCCATTTATTTAGATCGCTCCTAGCTACATGTCCAGCGTATTCCCATTTCAACTTTAATGATTTTTGCACCACATCGGTGACTTTGGTTTTCTGTCTTATCCATGTGTTTGTTTTCTTGTCCTTAAGTGATATACCTAGCATTGCTCTTTCCATCGCGTGTTGAGTGACTCTAAGTATATTCATATTCTTTTTTTTGATTGTCCATGTTTGTGCCGCATAAGTTAATATCGGAATAATGCATGCATCAAAAACTTTAGATCTAAGATGTAATTGAATTTGTTGATTTCTGAGTATATAGTTCAGTTTACCGAATGCTGCCCAAGCTAACTTTTTCTTCTTTTTATTTCTTCAGTTTGAATTTCCCTATTTAGTATTATTTTTTGTCCTAAGTATATATATTCTTCATCTTTTTCTATAACTTTATCGTTTATGATTGTCACGGTGTCTTCGGAGTGCATGACTTGTTTTGTTTAAATTCATTTTCAGTCCTATTTTAGAAGATTCGGTATATAGTTCTAAAAGCATGGTTTGCATTTCTTGTAGGTCAGAATCTATCAGGATTATGTCATCTGCGAATCGTGGATTACTGATGTAGCCGCCATTGATGTTTATTCCCTTATATTTCCAATTTAGGTTTTTAAAAACGTCCTCCAAAACTAAGGTGAACAGTTTGGTTGATAAAGTATCTCCCTGTTTGACTTCCCTGTTTAATGGTACAGGGTTCGTGTGTTCATTTTTATTTAGGTAGTATGTAGCTGTAGCTTGGTTCATAGTTTCTTTTATTAAGTTAATATATCTGCTGTCTATTCTACAATTTTGCATTGCGTTTATTACGGTCGTGTGTTCTATGGTATCGAAAGCTTTTTCGTAGTCTACAAATGCTAGGAAAACTGAAAACTTGTAGTTGTTACATTGTTCTTTTAATATTTTTGTGGTTACCAGGTGATCGGAAGTTGAATAGTCTTTTCTAAAATCTGCCTGTTCATATGGTTGGTATTCGTCTAATTTCCTTTTTAGTCGAGTAGTTATGACTTTGGTGAGTACTTTAAACAGGTGTGACAGTAGGCTGATGGGCCTGTAGTTTTCCAATTTTCGACTATCACCTTTCTTGTGTAATAAGATTACTTTAAAGTTGTTCCAGCTCTTAGGGACTTTGCCCTGATGTAAACAACTGTCCACAAGCTTAGTTACAATTGCAATTAGTTCCTTACCTCCTTCTAATATCATATCTGTGGTAATACTATCTTCTCCTGCAGCTTTATTTCTCTTCATGTTTTCCAATGCTGTAGTTAACTCTGAAATGGTTACTTTTGGCATTGTTTTTGATCCAACATTTTTTATTAATTTCCGTGCTGGTCTCATCTCATCATCTTGTTGATGTGTTCTGTAAAGTTCTGTGTAAAATTCTTTAATTCGTGTCAGTATGTTTTCTCTAGTTGTGATTTCATTTTCGTATTTTCCCATTAATGATATCATCTGACGTCGTCCTAGTGTCGGTCTGAGGCATTTCCTACTCTTATTTTTTTCAATAGTTGTTGTTATTAATTTTTCGGTTTCTTTTCTTTTTTGCTGTCTGATTCCTTTTCTAATCTGCCTATTAAGTTCTCTATATTCGTCGGTTTCCCTTTTGTTAGATTTATTTAAGATCTTCCTTCTTTTTATTTGTTGTAATATTTCTTTGTCTAATTCATTGTATGTTGTTTTTGGTTTTTTCAGTTGCAGAAGGCTTTTATTCACTGTTTTGGTAATAAGGCTATTCAAATCATCAATATCATTGGAGTTTATCTGCTGCATGCTAACTTGATTTCATGCATGCGCTATCTTTTTATTAAATTCACTATTTTTGATTTCTTCAGATGTCCATTTGTATCTTTTTTTATCTATTCTTTTTCTTTCTAGTTTTTTGTTAATTATTAGTTTTGTTCTTATTAGTCTATGATCGCCTCCTAGGTCAAACTGATTTAATACTGATACGTCTTCTACTAGGTTTCTATTCTTCGTTAAGATATAATCTATTTCATTCTTTGTCTTTTTA